TTACGATGTGCAGGTGGAACCGGCTTTACAACCTATTACAGGCGAAGAATTTCCCAGAGGAACTAATCAAGCCTCGTGTGAAATGCAGACTTTCGTGTCCTCGATTTGACGTCACATTACCCGCTAAAGCCATTCCTCTTTAAACTCGGTCGTGGGCCAAGATGGCGGCCGATTTTCCGTATTTTGACTGGGCACAGAAAATTGAAGATTTGAGCAAATAAAAAAATGTTTGCACAGAAATACTCCAAAAAATACGCTTATTTCGTCAAGCGAAAAAAAGTTTTTGGGTTTAGGTGCACTTTAAGGTCTTGAGAATAATGGAAATGATCACTATCTAAAGAGGTTCTTGATTGTTAAACAAATTCTCCTTGTCAGCACTTAGTAAATGTATGGAGAACAGTATGAAGAATATGCATATTGATCAGTGTTGGGGGTGTAAACAGTTTATTGTGTCGTCCACAAATGGCTAGGATATAAAAGTAATTACAGTGGATTCAGTGTTGTTAACATAGAGTTTCTGATTGATATGATAAACATCAACTTGGTTTACAGACCCTTTAGATGCCTAGACACAAGACTCTATCGTCCAATGTGGCAGAAAGTTTCAGCTTTGTGTAAAGGACAAGTTTATATTGAAGTGAGTATCACTTAGAACTTCCGGTTCCCACTCTATACTTATCAGCCTGCACGGTTAACTCATGTACTTTTCATTGTTAACCTATTTCACATCAAATCTGTGTTTCAGGGCAACATTGAACAGTTCATAAAGTTTACTGGCTGGTACGGTCCAAATGTGCTCTACTTTGGTGATCATGTGTACAGTGACTTAAGAGTGAGTTTGATGGTCTGGAATCATTTCCTATTTTGATAAACATTCTGATATAAACCAAGAGGACAGACCAATTCGCTCTGACGAAGGACTAACGTTTGAAACGTCAGCTTTGAAACTCTTTGCGGTGGCCAATTAACATTATCAACTCAGTTGATAAAACCCAAATTACCTTGTTACCCCCATCGACGCAGCACCACAGTTTCTTTAAAAACTTACCCCCCTTTACGTATGATGCACGATCCTCGCAGTAGATAGCGCTATTTATGCAATAGCGAAAATTAGACCTGAAAAAAATCAGGCCTGTACGGGACTCGAACCACTGACCTCTGCGATACTAGTGCAGCGCTCTACCAATTGAGCTAACAAGCCAACTGGGAGCAGGCCGTTAAGTTGATTCGTAATAAACCCGTGAAAGTGATAAATGAGATACAATGAATATAAGAAGTTCTTATATTTTGAACTGCGGTATTAGATACGTATGATGCACGATCCTCGCAGTAGATAGCGCTATTTATGCAATAGCGAAAATTAGACCTGAAAAAAATCAGGCCTGTACGGGACTCGAACCACTGACCTCTGCGATACTAGTGCAGCGCTCTACCAATTGAGCTAACAAGCCAACTGGGAGCAGGCCGTTAAGTTGATTCGTAATAAACCCGTGAAAGTGATAAATGAGATACAATGAATATAAGAAGTTCTTATATTTTGAACTGCGGTATTAGATACGTATGATGCACGATCCTCGCAGTAGGTCTAATTTTCGCTATTGCATAAATAGCGCTATCTACTGCGAGGATCGTGCATCATACGTATCTAATACCGCAGTTCAAAATATAAGAACTTCTTATATTCATTGTATCTCATTTATCACTTTCACGGGTTTATTACGAATCAACTAACGGCCTGCTCCCAGTTGGCTTGTTAGCTCAATTGGTAGAGCGCTGCACTAGTATCGCAGAGGTCAGTGGTTCGAGTCCCGTACAGGCCTGATTTTTTTCAGGTCTAATTTTCGCTATTGCATAAATAGCGCTATCTACTGCGAGGATCGTGCATCATACGTATCTAATACCGCAGTTCAAAATATAAGAACTTCTTATATTCATTGTATCTTACCCCCCTTTATTCAATAGATTAGGTAGTTGTGGCATTTTTATCTTTACATTTGTACTCGTGGACATGAATCATGCTCCAGTGCCTTTTAGAAGAGGAAATAACAACAAAAGAATGGCCCATAGCACTTTTCCTTACTCACTGGAAACTGCAGTTTGTGAACTACCATTATTTTTCCTGTTTACTAATTTTATTTTAGGATCCTGTTCTTCACCATGGGTGGAGAACTGGAGCCATCATTCCGGAACTAGAGGTACTTAGCTTTTCTTACTGATATATGAGTAATTGAAAAGCCCTTCTCTATCGAATTTTAATTATATTTTAAAGCGATGTACCCGATAATTAACGTCAGAAATAGAACTATGATTATTATTGAAGAGAACAATTAGTTTTATAGTACCTCCGCCATAATTATAGTACATCACATGGTAACTAAATATTCGTTTCTTACGTATCTTGTTTCTGCATGCTATGCGTTGAGATCCCCCTCAGGGGTGGGGATGGGAAGTGGTTGACCACATTACACACTAGACTCCAATGCTACATGCGATTTGGCCCAAAAAAAAATCCGGAAATTTCCGTTTGAGGTCAAATGGTGAGGCAATTTTCCCGAAATTCGGTCGGGAAATTTGCCACGGAATGGCGGTCAATTCCTCACCATTTGGATGAATCCTCCATTTCTAGGCTAAGTGGTACGCACGGTCTCATCTAGTTGGTCCGTCGGTGGAATTCGAAAATCTCTTAACATTATGCACCAACGGGATTCTTCCTTAAAATGGTAAGCACCCCGAAAAGCCTTTTACGTTTCCAAACTTGGTATTTTTAGAAAATCCTGGCGTTAAGATGCCTTCTCCAAAATTATTTTTGTAGAAATGGCCTATTTCTCCATCGAGTTTTCTGAAGATCGGCGGCAAAGTATCGGGGCGCTGAAACTAAAGGTCTGCGGTTCCATTCCTCGCAGGGAACTCAGACTTTTACTTTTTTCCACGCTCGTTTCAAAGCGAAAAACAACATTTGTCTAATCTGTAAAGCAAAATTTTCAATCATTATTGTATTCCTAGTTCAGAATTTATCTTTTCTCTTTTCTTGTTTGGAAGTATGAAATCAAGAACGGCAACTCACTGGAGTTTCAGCGTTCAGTTGTGTGGCTGACCAATCTTCAAGATTTAATCCTCCAACTAAAGGTTAGTAGCCTGCGAGCAAGCACCTCGTTATTAGCGCATCGGGACCAGCGCAGGAAAGAATGAGGCCTGGAACAACGTGAGCTGGCAAGAGGTTTGCGAGGGGATGAGCAGCCTTTATATTAGTGCCAGACCCCTGCAAACCTCTTCCCGACTCGTCTCAAACCTCCCCTCGGGCGGAGAACGCACGCTCTGCAGCAGTGCAGCGATAATAATCCCATCAACTGGGTTTTTTCGTTTGGTTTTGAAATGAGCTATAAGTGGTGGGATTAGCCATGTGCTTATCACAGAGTTGATAACTGTCACGTCGGACATTTGATATGCATGACGTCTTTATTTTCGCGCAAAAGGTAATCGATAAAGCTCACACGAACTTCCCAACACAAACATCACTTATCTTCTTCGAAGTAATGCGTTCTCAATTCTTATTACACTTAACCTTCCTTAGCGCTTTTACCACGTCCCCTATGATTCTCAGTCAGTTTCAGGAATCAGTGACATTTGCACTTTTCTTCATGTTTCACCCCAAGAGCAGCATCCCACGTACCCCCCCTCCCCCTCCCTAGGCGTCTTATTTCTTTAACCACGTAAACATCGTATTGGTACGGAAAGTACTGACAATAAACTTTAATTTGAAGAGACGAATCGGCGGAGCTATCATGTAAAGCTTCAGCAATGTTGTCCAAGTAGAAGATCGCACCTTTTTAAGGATGTGCCATGAGAATCGTTATGCACCAATACTCGTAGAACTCTTGTACCTAGCAAATCTTTAGAACTGTCACAAATCTCGTCCGACAGGCTTTTCCTCCATGCAGTAAACGGGCTCAACTTACAGAGGAGTGGAAACGAGAGAGAAGAGAAATAAAGTAAGAAAAACTCGTATGAAGCATAAAGGCATATTGCTTTCATCATGTCGAGTTCAAAATCTGATTCGTTTGCAAGCCCCTCGTCCTTGTGGTATTCTCAAACTTATCTCAGAGAAGTGTCGTCTTTGGCAGATTGTTTAAAATGTATCATACAACAATTATTGAATTCGGATTTCGCGCGATATCAAGAATTATCAACCTCGTGTCTGTGTTACCTGCCTCGACTTTGGCTGCTATTTTGATAATTCATGATATCATGCTCAACCTCATCCAATGATTGCTTAATACTGAAGACTCCAGGGTAAAGGAAGAAACATTTCTGCAGATATTGTATTTATCATGTCAGCTTCACACGCTATTGTATCTTGGTTGAATGCTCTCGACCATTCAGATTTTTCATAGTAAGGCTAATGTATAATAACGACCAATAGAGGCCGAAGTTGGCTCAGTTGAGCCTCTCTCCTGTCTACTTGTTCCGGGTTCCATCATACAGGTTACGAGAAAACATAGTAACACTTTTGTAGGAAGAGACAATGGCGGAGTCTGTAGGAGAAATATTTTGCCAAATCTTGGTCCCCGGTCCATATGGTAGAAACTTAAAGGGTATTTTTATATTTTAGGTTGAAGTTGAAAGCGCTGTTTAACCCCAGATTTGGAAGTGTTTTCAGGACATATACCAACTCGACGTATTTCACCCGCCGCTTAGTGCGGTTTGCTGATCTTTACATGTCGTCTGTTGAAAATCTGCTTAATTATCCCCTGAACTACACCTTTTACCCACGAAGAGCTGCTCTTCCTCACGAGGCCGTGCTGGATTTTAGAACCAATCGAGTTCCGCAAAACCAGACATGTCCGAACTCGAAGGACTAAGTGGTTAAGCTGATCATCAGAGGGCGGGTTTCAATTGCGCATGTCATAAAAAACCAAACCCACAGCAAACTATTTAGTATATTGGGGTTGAAGAGTTATGCGCCGATCGATTCGAAGCTTCAACTTCCTTCCCGGGCAACTCACGGGCACTTTACTCTTGTCCGTGCCGGCGGGTGGGTAATTTTAACCTTGCCTGGCCAGGGTGAGGAGTTTGAACCGGAAGTGTCAAGTCTTTTTGGCGGAATAACAAGCGTTTCATCTTTTGATATGGAGGTTTTTAAAGGTTAAGAGTTCACTTTTGCGAGCGAAAGGCTCCGAAGAATAAGTCTACAAGATCTAGGTTCTAAAGCTTGGTCAATGAGTAGAAAATCATGGTCGTTGATTTTGCCTTGTACTGAAAAAAAAAAAAAAAAAAAAAAATAAAAAAAAAAAAAAATCCAGCTCCAGAGAAAGAAAAAAGTAGTTTTGTTTTAAAGAGGTGAGCAAAGTGAAAAAAGCCCGAGAAATGGCCTGAAGGGGAGGGGGAGGGGATGTTAAAGCTTCGAATTTATCGACGCATGAAGAGATTTGGAGTGTCTAATACAAGTTAAGAAAGAACAGCGATAGTGGGAGGGATTTTGATTGGAATTCCTGCGGTAATTAACCTTTGAGTTTTCTCTTAGAGTTAATATGGTACAAATCAGCGGGTGTTTTGGGAGTTAAATTGATGAATAGTAACCCCTAAGAGTGACTAGCATCTAATTTCTCCTTACAATATCACCGCTGAATCACACATTAAGGTCATGAGGAAAACGGAATTGATCACCAACTGAAGATGCTCTTGACTGTTCAACAAATTCTCTATGATAAGGCCTTAGGAAATGTATAGAGAACAGTATGGAGAATATGCAAACTGATTTAAGGGTGTGGAGATTGAAAAGTTTTTTCCCCTTATTCTTGGTCCTTTTACACTTTGAGTTTTAAAACGAGGTCGTGCAGTGGTCAGTGAGAGGTAAACTGACGATTTCGAATGAACATGAGTACAATGAAAGAAGTAGAGCTTCTTTCAAGAGAGTGAACAAAACGTAGAAATTATTATTGGTGTATCTTAACTTATTTAATCATTATGGATGCATTACATTGTCTTGAATTAGATTTTACTTTTAACGTGAAAGACAATATCCACAGATTGACTTTCGAGGTCCCGACGTATATATTTTACATCAAAAAGGTTTAATTTGCAAATGTTAAGGAAGTCCGAGAAAGTTAAAGAGATTGCTGCTAATCAAATGCAGGGATCGACACTAACTTTTCAACTTACTGGCCAAGTGGCTCGTGACATCTTAGATGTTACGACAATTTCAGTTTGTTTACTACCCAAGCTGGCGTGGAAATCGAAAACCATTAGCCAAAACTGAATTTCTACTGGTCTGTGGCCAGTTGGCTACCGTTAGTGTCGAACCCTGCATGTTATTAACCGTTTGGCATACATATTCATCAGTCGCTCATCGTAAAGTAATGGTACTGACATTTGTTTCGATGTTTGTCTAAGGACATCATTACCCTCCGAGCTTGCTTCTCGATAGTGCGTATCCTCCCCTGTCACCGACACTGAGGTGACAGTGGAGGATAATTAATATCTGCCACACAAGAACCGAAATCTGGATTATTACTGTCATAATCCGGAAAAAAGATAGGAAAGAAAATACTTTTGACGTATGAGTTTGTCTCTTCGGCTGCTCGGATGAGAATGGTACATCATTGCTAATCACGTTCGAGCTAGCCAATGTGCGTGCGCGAAAAGCACGATTCTGCTGTGTGGTGTGTACTAACTTCGGCTACTTTCACTTTCAGTATAACGTTGTAAAGATATCGTTGAAATAGTTTAAAGATAGACATCAATTATGTTTTAGTTCCCAACATAGGTTAGCCTACTTTGTAAGTGTACATTGCTTTTTATTCTCGCTCCAAGGCGCTATCTTACGAAAAGTTTCGCCTTCTGAATTTTGACAGACTGTCATTTACAATTGGTATCAATTCTCTCCAACCCAAATCGTCCTCAGTTTTTTCATTTGGGTGTTTTTATCTTTCGTAGTTGAAATAATGACATTTTGTGGTTGGAAAGTTTTCACGTTCGAAGAAAACCACTGAAAACTTCACGAGATAGCGCCTTTGATATCGGGTTCGAAGAAACTAAACCTGTGTCCAAAAGTAGATTTCGAGAAAAATACTATTATTATCATTAAGAGTACTTATTTATCAATTCAGACTATAGGAGAACTTATATTTTGGGAAGAAATCGTCTTGAATGCAAAGACCTGTGGAGAACTTTTTATTCATTACACATAATCTAATATTTTACAAGTTGGTTCGAGGATTGAAGGTTTTGCAATGAAATAAAGTACTACATGGTAAACAAAGATAACAGATTCCTTATCTCATTACTTATGTTTTGCGGAATTCTGAAATAAAGATATGGATCTACGGTTACTACCACATCCAACCTATTTTACGATTTATCGTGTCGTTTTCTCCTCTGTAAGTAACAGAACACAGATCGGGTCAGAACGTAGAATGAACAAACTAGTGTTACACATGTTAGTGGCGAGTGTTTCCAACATAGTTTGATTTGATCTGAGTCCTATTTACCATTTAGTAATGAGCTGACTTAAACATGCACTTTTATTGTTTTTTTTTTCTCCTACGATCAGAGACAGTGACACATTCAGCCGCGATTACTGTGCCCCTTTTAGTTTGTACCACATTTTTACGTCATCTGTGATTTAATATTAATCAACAGACGCATGTCAACATGGAATCTATATTGACGTATGTGACCTACACGTGACCTACACGACCTGTGAAAAATTCTGGGCAGTTGGCTCTGTCAGTTAAGGAAACTACAACATCGTTGTCAATAACATAGTATTGCAAGGTTTTAAAATACTAAACTATAATCTCATGTTGTAAACATCTTAAAGAGTAATGACCTAAAATCTTATACTGTACGCAAATTAGGCTTTATCTAACCCTGGCACAACTAAGTTAAATATGACAAACACTTTATCAGATCCTTAGGACCATTGATGTGGCCAAAACTGAGTAGCAATGAGAGAAATGCACCCTCCTTGGACTACTTCAAAAGCATGTTGAGCTACACAAAAATGTAACCGGATGACGCTGCTGGGCCTGTTGCCACCTGTAAAACATAGATTTTTGTATGATCTGAGCATTATCTGCTTAGTTTCAAGTTTATAGATATATATGTTGTAGTTCAATTTTATCCTTGGTTCAAATTTTATTTTCCTTTGTTTCAAACTCATTATCATACATTAACATGACCGAGAACAAGGGAAAATAAAATTTGAACCAAGTATAAAATTGAACTACAACATATACACCTGATTGCAATAAGGTTGTCATAGAAAAAAGCAAAAAGCAAAAAGCCAAATAGGAATTAATTAGCCATGTGATTTACATTTGCTTATTTTAATAATTTAACAATTATTTAAGAAGTCATTCACAATAACAAGACATAATTCTGTAATTCCGCGATTAGCAAGACACCAAGAAACTGAAGCGTGTGTGTTATGAATGTTGCAAGCAATGATAATTAAATGCTAATTAATTCCTATTTGGCTTTTTGCTTTTTCCTATGACAACCTTATTGCAATTAGGTGTATATATATTTATAGATTCCCAGTACATTGGCCCTTTTCGATATATTAAAATAATTCAAACTTGGCTCCGAGGCTTAGGGAATAAAACAAAAGAAATCACATCGAGGCTTTATTCCCCCAAGCCTCGGAGCCGTGGTAGAATTTTAATAATCGACAATGGCCTATTGATTTTAGACCTCAAGATTTTTTCATTAATATGTTGATTGCAACTCTTATATAGTCTAGACTTTGTTTTATTGCATTCTGGTAAGGCACTCGAACAAGGTTCATTCAATTCATTCATTGTCCAAGATCGATGAAGTTTTCTACCCTCTCTTCTCTAGCACAGGCTTTCACTTAATAAAAGCTGCATCGAGAATATTTAGTAGTTGCCTAATACAATTTTAATGGACCAATAAGTTGTCTTCATAAACTGAAAAAATCTCAGTGTGCATCATGTGATTATTTCCGCGTGGAACGTGGGTTGTGTTAACTTGGCGCGCGTTCTTCAAAAGCTTGGTTACTAAGCGTGAGACAAAAAATTAAATGCAAATTAGATTAGGTGACGCTCATACTAGTGTCCACTTTGGCGACCGTAAATTATTTTTCTAGACGCAAAAGCTGATGAGATTTCCTTGACTACCCAGTAGAGATGAAAGTGGTTTTCCTCTGCAAAGGTTCAAGGGGCGATGTTGCTCCTATTTTATCCCTTGCGGTCGGCTTCAAGTAAGTTTTCGAGTGCTTGCTAATAAGCTTATCTTGCATGTAATTGTTCCATCCTCTTTGCACACTGGTTGCAGATACATATTCGTTTGTCAAATATTATGGCTTGTTGCCAGTGTCATGCTGTGTGTTAAGTATTTAGTATTGAGTTAGAATAATATTTGGCACGTGAATGACAATATTTTTATCTTCACTTAATGTGTACGTTAGCGAAAAGAAAACAATGATACGACTCTGAAAAAAATATAATTTCACTCGTTTTTATGATTTCACGTTTTTTTCGCCGGAGATTCTTTTTGTTTGGGCTGCTTGTGGGCGCTTAAGAGTAATCTTTCCGTGTTATTTTTCTTTCGATTAACGTCCCCCAAAATGATTTTAAAAAATTGCCTTTGATTTAGGGACCACTTGCTATGCAGACAATGGTTTGTTTACCATGATAGAGGTGCTCTGTTTCGAACGACTGCTCGTGTTTATCTGTTTGCTAAATTTTATTCCATGAGCTATCAAGCGTGTGTCGTTGCCTGTTGAATTATTTGGATCGATATCGGTTTAAAAAAGGAATGTGCTTGCCCCATTTCTAAGGAACCTATAACCATGATGAGCGAATTTAAAACGAAATATGCAGAAGTCGCACATTTTTTGATATTCAATCTGTTGATTGTTGTCTTTTTCGAGGGCGCCTTCCTCAAGGTATTCTAGGTATTTGATTTTTGATTTGGTTTAATTTTTTTCCCAAAAAAATTAGTTTTGATATCCTCCGGATCAAGTGAAAACGTGTTTTGAAAATTACTCGTACTATAGTGTTTTCCGAGTGGTGACAAATGAATAACTTTTACTCAACTCGACGACCGAGCCAAAAAGTGAAGCGACTTTCTTTTTTTAATCTATTGTTTCCTTTAGACAAAACAACCCCACAGATAACTGCACCCTTGCCACTCATGCATGTCACAGACTCAAATTTGACAGCATTCTCAAAAAGTACGACGTGGATTTTATGGCTGTTGATGACCTTGGAAAAGACAGTGGACCTCGGAGTCTTGAGAAACTGGAGGTAAGAATTGAGACAGGTGGAGCTAAGAACTTAAGTTAATTAGGCAAGGAGGGTCTAGCTAATTGCTCAATTAGCACAGGAATATTTTGGCCGCTAGCTCTTGAATTCACTGAGAAAGACATTTTGAAATCAATGGAAGAGGTTTCTCCATTTTAGGGGAAATAAGTTCAAATCTGAATGTTTGGAATCTTGATGTATGATGAAATATAAACTGCAGTTTATTTTACTTGTCAAATTCTTAAAATTTACTCTTTTCAAGCTTCAAGTATGTAGTGGAAGAGGTTTCTCCAAGGGTCAGCAACAAGATCGTCTCATAGAGATGCATGGGAGTTTGCGAGCCTGCCGAGGGGCAGATGCTATTGTGTTTAACCTCTTTGCTTGTGAGGGGTGGTTTATTGCAAAATACTTTGATGTACCATGTGTGGCAGCTTCTCCATTTGCTGTTACCAGGTAAAAACTAACTTAAAACTATTTGAAAATCCAACCACAAATATTTGCTTGTTTGTGAGTTCTTAATGATGCTTTTATTTACAAATTTAACATTCTTTAATTTGTTCCAGAACTCCACCAGTGACGTTTGAAAGCAAATTTGTTGATGCCTATCCAGATTTGTACCATAGACTTCGAAACTCAAAACAAGGTGCTTCTTAGGAATTTTCTTGTTTTTTTACTTAACACTTGAGAGTGATTGGCATCTAAGTTTTACTCAGTGTATCACCTTTTCATCAAACCAGCTCACAAGAATAACTGAATTGTTCTCCAACCAAAGAAGCTTGCGATTGTTCAACAAATTTCTCCTTGTCAGCACCTTAGGAAGTGGACTGGACTTGTAATCCAGTGTCCCGGGTTCAAGTCCTCCACCCTGCCACAGTCTCACAGGATTTGTTCTCGGTTACCCCTAGTTCAACTCCTCGGCTGCGCTCTGTAAATAGCTCATTGGTCTGCCTCCTGCCAGCGGGGATTTTCAAACACTTAGTTAGTCTACATAGACTGGTTGAAAAGCCCCTATGGGGGAGCTTCAATTAATGGATATTATTATCATTATTATTATTATATGAAGAACAGTATGGAGAATATGCATACTGATGTTAGGGTGTAAATGGGTAACCCTTTATGCCTGAACATACTGTTTGATTCAACAACAAGACTGTGAAGGGAAATTACTAGCAGATATTACCATTAATCACCCTTAGGAGATAGAGGGTTCATGAAACTTACTTAAGCTGAAAAATTAAGAAATTTGAAACCAAAGGTTCCAGACTAATGAATTGGAGACTCAGTTTTATTGTGAAATATTTACAGAATTTTGCAGGACTTGAAGCCTCATTTCAGCCAATGGTGTTGCACTTAAATTTTATATAAAATATAACTTCCTGTAATGGGTGATATTAAGAATAAGTTCTGTACAAGAAAATTTCAGTCATAAATCACTTGCATGTAATCCACTTATTTTTTGTTGACAAAATTCCAAGATCTGCCCCAAATTTCCTTGCAAGTTAGTGGAAAATTTGGTGATCAAGATTACAACTCCCACATGATGAGTTTGAATATTATCATAACTTACCTTTGATGCATGATCCTTGCAGTAGAGAGCACTATTTATGCAATAGCGAAAATCAGACCTGAAAAACATCAGGCCTGTACGGGATTCGAACCACTGACCTCTGTGATACTAGTGCAGTGCTCTACCAGTTGAGCTAACAAGCCAACTGGCCTGCTCCCAGTTATATGCACACTCACACACACACAGGAGCTTAGCAGTTTTATGTTACGACCCCCAGGAGAAGTGAGTTATGGTGACATTGATCACTGGATGTGGAGACTCTACTTGGATGACTTTGGTGAATTCTGTGACAGTATTGGTCTGCCTGTGTGCCCTTATGCTGAACTGACCCCTGATGACCGACTCCACCCGTCTACTACCTTACTGTATGGGATCAGCCCACAAGTGATTGAGAAGCCTCCATACTGGCCAGAAAAGTAGGTTCATGTAATTGATAATACAATTTCCTAGGTTTATCTCGTGTTATATTAAGAGAGTTAGTGAATGGGTTTTGATTGCGCCATGGGGGCTATTGTAAGTTGCACTTTGAAAATTAAATTAACCCTTTACATCTACTGTAGTTTTCTCCTTGTATTTGCAGCATTGTCCTGTGTGGTTACTGGTTTCTGGAACTCCCAGATGAACCCATCAATGACATCAAGGTGTACCATCCTGCCTCAGGTTACAGCACGTTGCCAGATTTCTTTTCCAGCTTTAAAGGGAGTGGCGAAAGACCGGTTTACATTGGGTTTGGCTCAATGGAAGAGCTGGGGTTTTTCTCAAGTGTTGATTGCGTTGAGCTTCTTGGTGTACTTAACGAAGGTATGTGTATTACTCACATTAATTTGGTTTGATATATATTTTCACTATTTCCACATTAAGTTAACATGTACTGCTTAGCAAGTGATTTATAGGATTGTTCTAAATTTTTCTCTCATAATGTAGCAAGGATGCACAATTTGTTCAGGGAAGTACATTGTACCACCTATTAAGAATGTTTTTGACAATATAATGTAAGTCCGTATTTAATGAATAGATTGCATATTGCCATGCATCTAATCAATAATAGTTCACAGATGACTATAGGTGCAGTGGAGTGGGTCACTGATGTTCTCACCACATTTTCAGGTCTTCTGTGATCTATTACAGAAAAAATGCCCTAAAAATAGAATCCATATGTTTTATGCAGTATATACGGGGGGGGAGGGTAAGTGTCTTTCGTCTAGATCATCAGAAAGAACCAATCAAAATGGATGTACTGTATGATTCAGGGTAACCCAGTCACTCTCAGATGTGAGTAGTTATTCTCCTTACCATCTGCCATGCAATTCTTATAATGTTAGTGTTATGCTACACTACCATATAGTTTTTTATAAGATCAAACTTTACTTAATAAATAACCTTAGCTAAACTTGCTCCAAATTACATTTAACTCTGAATAAATAGATTTTAAAGTGCATGCACAATTACTGCAGGATAACTATTCCTAGCAACTCAGTTAACATATTGCACAACACAGGTTCATTGTAGCACTCAAGGTAAATTGTTTCTTTGCATTCAATATTCTGGTGTTGTAACAGTTATTTTGGAAAATGTGGTATTGGATCAACTAATAATCCCCAAACTGATATTTCTCTTTATTCTCATCACTTGTCTGTCTGATATTGCATCAGTACATATAGATAATAGCACTCCTTTTTTCATTTGTTTGTTCTTCAGGTCTTGTTCAATGTGGAAAGAAAGCACTCTTGCAACTATCCCCCAATTCCAATCTCCTTAAAACATGGGAAATGTTGTGCAGAAACTTTCAGAACTGTAACATCCACTGTCTCATGGAGTATGTCCCACACTCTAAGCTCTTTCCATTGTGCCAATCGGTAGTGCATCATGGGGGAAGTGGAACAGTTGGTATGGCACTAAGATGTGGTGTTCCCCAGATTGTGTGCCCATTTATGTTTGATCAGTCTTACTGGGGTGACAAAGTCATGTGGATGGGTGTTGGTGAATCTGTGGGGCACCCACGGTCACTCAGTGCTGAATCGTTTGGTTCAGCACTTGTCAAGGTGGTTAGCCCAGAGGTGCGTAACATGGCAACTTCATATGGCAAAATGTTACTGGGGGAAGATGGGGTAAAATCGGCTGTAAATCAACTTATAAAAGAGTTTAAAAGAAGATAGCAAATTTGAATGAACTCTTAGTCAGTTAACAGACCATGGTGATAACTGTAATATAAAGAGCACAATACATGTAAGTTAAGATCATTCTTGTATTATTAATATTAAATTCAGTTTTAATCGCGCAGTCAGTAATGAAACCACAAGTGCAATACTCTTCAGGTTATTGTACTGATTGATTTAATTTTATGGTTCATAGGGCACTTTTTCTTGTTTGTATCAGAGGGTGGAATTAAGTTATTGAATTTTATGGGTTCTAACAGCTGAAAGCTAATTTATAGAGAGAACTTTCAAGTCATGCAAATCAGGCTAGTAAAATTTTACAAGGTGCCTAACAAAATTTCAAAACAAAAAAACTTTTGTAAAGGTTTCTACCCCAGAATACAAGATTTTATTGTCAGAACTGTATATACATAATAATTTTTGTTTCCAGAGTGAGGTAAATTATTTTGTAAATATTTCATTGCTGGATTTTAACTTATTGATTACATTGCTGTGATCTAATTATTCTTGTCAGAGATTAATTCAGATGGCCAAGCCATGTATTTCTGTGGAGTTTGAATTAAAGGAATTTCATCATTTACATTAATTTGACTGTCTTGATTATGTGTTCTGTTCATTTGCCCACGTAAGTCTTGCCAACTACATGACAATCGCACATTTTATATGTTCAGGCAGAAAGGGTTAACCGTTTACACTCTAACATCAGTATGCATATTCTCCATACTGTACTTCATATAATAATAATGATGATAATAATATCCCTTTTATATTATAACCCTTTTACTCCCCATGTCTGACTGTCAATTCTCCCTTCTAGCTGCTACACCTATCCTTGTAAATTAGTTGTGAGAATTTAGTTTTAGATCAAGATAACACCTACCTGATAAGCCTGAGTACTGCCACTATCTTTTTGCCGCCTGATAATGCGTGAATACTACAGGGAAAAGGTACCAGTACATGTTAACCGCTTCTGGAAGTTCTAAAAGGGTCATTGGAAATTCATTGAGATGACCATTTAGCCATGCCACAGGGTGGCAAATTCTCTAGATTTGTCAGAAGAAATTCTGACGAATCGAGCCTGTTGACGACGTGATCAGGAAACGCCAAATATCACGTGACTAAAACTAAAAAGGTAACCGTTCTCCTTAATTAAACATACGGTTTTATTTAAAATTATTCGTGTTCCAGTAATGAGTGCGTTTGTCAGAAGAAATTCAAGCATGCGTTTAACGTAAACATGAAGACATGGAAAATGAGCGCAAAAAATGTGTCCCGTCTACTCCAGTTCGTTCGTTCTCGCACAGTCCACCTGTCCAACCTTCAATGAGGATCTGATGCGACGAGCGTGTGCCGCTCGTTTTTAAGTAGTCATATAAAGTACACTGTTAGGATTGTTGAGCTTACCGAGTTTACCTGTAAAATAGCTATTTTGCTAAGTGTAAACTCACGCTAATAAATTATATATATGTATTTAATTATGAGTATGTTGATGCCACTTTGTTACGCAGTATTTAAGTAAAGCTTGAAGCTGAAATCTTAGGTTCTTTCGCGCGATTTTAAAGTATTGAGCTGAATAAACTGCCCTTATTATGAAGTCAGGTACTGCAATATGTATCTGTGTATAGCGCACAACTGGCTATTAAAATAAAACAGCTCTTTCGTCTGTACGGGTGGTTTCGACACTTATGCAGATTGAAAAACAGCAGCACCTTGTTAACTCGAAATGCCCATGAAAAAATAAAAAGATCGATTTACCTCAAAAGACTGATTAACCAGTATTTAATGAGGTTATATACCTCTGTAGTGACTAAAAAATGCCGTTCAAGCAAAATGTTTTTAATACAAGCTCAGTTAAGGTCCAGTTGATATTTCTAAAATTACAACGCACACTACATTCGCAGCCGGCTCTCCATTGAACTTCTTTACTTAAGTTGAAACTGAGCTGTCCAAAGCGAGGCATCCTACTTCGTTTCATAATTGAACAAATCAGATCGAAGAATTCGGTGGCGATTACTTTGAACACGCCTTTGAAGTCGGAAAACTCATTTGAATTACAAATAATTTTCAAAATTAATTTTCCTATTTACGATCAGTCTTGCACGTGGAAAGAGCTTACGAACTACAAGAGATTTGAGCGTCTATTTTAGCTTCTATGGAGTCAAGAAACATGTAATTTCGACCCTATTACCTTGCATGGATATCGTCTGTTTTGTCCAGTCGACGAGTGTTTTTCACGATGGGTCAAGTGGTCCAGATACCATGTCAAGGATTCACGCTTTTCACTTTGTTACGACTTCTCGTCAGGTAAATAACCCGTGGAAATAAATATTTGGTTAGTAGTGCAGTGTTCGTGGTCTTTGTAAAAATAATTTTACAGAGTCAAATGTAGAAAGAGAAGCATGATTCACATATGCACAGCACAGTGTAGGACAAATTCTCAGGCAGTGGGCAGCAGCCGCCATGACAGTTCTTCTTGAATCGGAGAGAAATTCTGGTCTACTTTATTGTTAGTGGACATATCGCTTATTTACTTATTTCTGTTTTCACTCCTGTACATATTTTCAACTATCTTTTTTATAAAGTGTGTTGACCGATTATGTATTTTAAACAAATTGTTCTTCCTTTCACCCTACAACCTCTCCTAAGAGGGAGAGGTCATCGTGAAAAACCGTCTAACGTGGACTCAGTTTCTGGTACCAGAGAATTCGGTGATTCCCACATTTCCATCTTCCTGTCTTTTCATGATATTGACCTTGCAACAATTTAGCATGTCAAATACCAATGTAACATCAAAGTAAGGTGCCAATAGTCGAACTTAGTGTATACCTAGAAAGGTATTCATATAGTCACATCGTCTTTGCCTTTTTTAGCGAGTAAGACAGCGTCTAACACAAGATGAAACAGCTAGGACATTAAGAAGAAAAGAAAGAAAAGGAAAAAAGGATAACATCCAAAAAGGTTTGTTTTTAGATTTGTACTGGATTAACTCATCTAAACCTATAAGTCTGATACATTTTAAAACAAACTTCAGTTTCAAATGAAGGAAGTTTATCGCTCCAAATCTTTTGGTGGCAAATTTTGCTTTTAAATAATCATGACAACAGTAAGCGTGTCAAAATACTCACGTAGTTGTATGGTAAAAGGCCAGTAGTCAAATTTAGGTAGCTTATTCCCAAGTAAATAAAGTTTCCAAGGAAACTATGGTGCTGCGTCGATGGGGGTAACGAGGTAATTTGGTGATATCAACTACTGACGTTTAAATTGTAATTTGGCCACCGTAACGAGTTAAAAAGCTGACGTTTCGAGCGTTAGCCCTTCGTCAGAGCGAATGGAAGAACTGTGGGTTGTGTGTGGGTTTATATGCAGAAAATGGAGCTACGCTATTGGTGAGAACATGGCGACGAGAAAAACAAGAATGAATAGGCGTTTTGCAGTTAGAGAAGATCCAAGAAGCTCTAATAGACGACTGGGAGCCGGCTATGATTATTACCAATGCACGGATAACAGCGGTTTGCGTAAAAGGGTACGACGACGGCCTGACGGTTGCAAAAAGGTGCTAAATTTTTCACTTGCCATGTTTTCTTTAAAGAAAAGGTACTTCAACCTTATCAGCGAGGTAACCAGAAATTGTAGTGAAAGACGCGTCTACTAATTATCCAACGAGTAATATAACACCAGCATCTGCAGCTGAAGGGTCCACTACTTCCATCAAAAATAAGAAAACAAATGACAAATTATGGTACCGGCAGAGCTCAAGGAATATGGTTCCTACTGCACACAACAGTCGTTCTCTTCTTTGCATTTTATCCAGCAACCATCGAGATGTAATCAATCCACACAAAAACCGAACTCAAGGAGTTATTTTGAATCTTGTGCCAGACGACTTAACAGTGCCCTTAAAAGAAAACTCTTGTTTAAGTTGCCTCTTAGAACAGTAGTCTTAACAAAATAATATGGTAGCTTGCACTCGACCAGTGGTAATTGTATATGCAAATATGGTTATGCAGCTCTACTCTCAAAACATTCCCGCCGGTACTTGAAGTCAACTTTGCAGTACGAATCGTTAATGTAGGTTTCTCATATGTTGACCTGAGACCTTTCGCGAAAAATCGAGACTAAAATTGATACAAAAAAAAATCTTAAATGTTGTTGTGCACTGAAAATTGGTATTGATCACTCACTTCAAAACAAAATCATTGGTGCTCGATCTCATACATCTATATATCCTCTTTTGGAGGAAAGCCTTTACTGTCGAAAGCTAATGAACTTCTAAATTGCTGTTCAAATACCTAAATACAACGGCGTGAGAACTTTTACAAGCTCAGTCATCAAGAGCTATGTTCGATTTAGATCACTTACTTAGCGAATTTTCTATTTCTCACTGACTCGCTCATTCAAGTCTAGCCATCGAGTTTGTCAATCCTTGCCAGCGAGTTGGCTATCACTTACTAGCGAATTTCCCAAATCCTGCTGACGAGACATATCAAATTTCGCCAACCAATCTACAGCTAGTTTGCCATATTTCTTTCGCAAGATTTTTTTACTTTTCGCTTGCGAGTTCAACCGCAAAAGGTTACAAGTAGATAACCTTATAAGATGCCCTTTCTTAATTGCAAGGCAACCATTTTGTTTCCTAGCCAGGGCCGGGCTCTCGATCAACAGAAACGAGCGGAAAGGAGGGTGTGCGAAACATGGCTAGGATCCGGACAACCAAACTGCCGCTTGCTGTTTGCCCGTTCTTTTAATGAGGGTCTGGGGCAAGGTTTTTTGTTTATCTAACACATTCACATTTTGCAACGGTTTATATCTGGAACTAGAAATACAGAATGTGGCATTTTCTAATGCCTGTGGTGGAAGACCATAAGTGGTGAGAATACATTCAACAGGCATAAGAGACTGAAAGATAGCAAAAAGTATACCTATTACATTTATACTTCCAACCTCCAAATCTAGTAAGGTTTTGCATCATAAGTTATCTTTTCCCCTTAATATCGTTGTATTCCTTCACTGGTAGGGTATCAGAGAGGCCATATTTGTAGTCCACAAATAGCACAATTGAGAAACCCAGACCAAATCCTACACTCAATAGCCTTTTTGTGTCCTTTCTTAGTGCAAATCAATTACACTGGAAACTCTTGAATTCCAGAGCGTACATTACAGAAGTGAGTCATTTCAGAATCGCCATCAGTGATAGATAGATCAATCTCTGCATAAAGAAATGACATATATTGATTAGTAAGAACAAAGTGGCTTCCTGGAAAAACAAGGACACCATCTGGATAGTCTTCACATAGAGCTTCATAATCAATTTCAGAGCTGTGTAAGTCGACAATTCAACCATGGCCTTTCAAGGAAACCAGTCCATAGCTCCACAGGGCGAGTGGAACACTCTTTATAGAATTCCTTTTCCCATGGTAATTCCATTAGGCAGCGAATTCTTTTAATACAAGGCAATGTCGATGTGGTGAAGGAAAGCAAAGTGGAGACGCGAATTTCTGTTTTACTCCTTGGTTCCTAAATGCTTGACTATTTCTAACAAGTAACAAGTGACTTTTCGGATATCCCCTCTCCACAATCTTGTTATTCTAAGATGTTACGGATAGAGCGCTGGACTACTGGGCGGGAGGTCGAGGGTTCGAGCCCCGGCCGGACCAACACTCAGGTCTTAAAATAATTAAGAAGAATTTTCTACCTTTCTATATCATCAAGAAATGGTTAGATATTCTAGTCTTCTCGGATAGGGACGAATAAATGGAGGTCCCGTCTCCTGTAGAGTTAGGGGCAGGAGACGTTAATTTCCCACGCACGAGATTACTGTGTGATGGATGTCCTCCCCTGGGGTGGGATGGGTGGATTTACTGGGCCCGCAGTAATTGGCGCAAGCTGTTGTGGTGTCCCTGCCGGTCGGCGAAGCTTAATAAATAAATAAANTATGACACATAACTTGGTAATAATAAATATGCACATAAAACCTGACGAACCAACGATCCACTTTCCCCCATGTAAGAGATACCTTTTACGTTTCTACTTGAAAACGTTTCTTAAAGGACAACCACATGCAAAACATGAAAAGAACTCTATTTACGTTATAAACAATCGGTTTGGAAGGCTGATGTGGCTAATAATCAGCTGGCTGAGTTCCCAAAACGTGCACATGTTATTGACTGAAATGATGTTCTCAGTGGTCCAAATATAGTTTTTTAAGAGACTTGGCTACGAGGAATAGAATCATTAAGGCAGGAAAGGATATATTTCCGGTGTTGCTATGGTTACGTAACCGCATGACGTGAATTTCGTTCCCTCTGGCGAAGCTCTGACTCTCGAAACGTCAGCTTTAGAATCACTCTAGCGTGGTCAATTCACGTTCGCTCTGACGAATGGCATCAGTACACTGGAAAAGTCAGCTTTAGAATAACTCTACGTTGGCCGTCAATTCACGTTATGAACTCAGTTGATAAACCCAAATTGTCTAAATTCCTTTAGTTTAGCAGATATTAAAGAACGTCCGATTTGCCATCCGTGAAAATCTCAGTTGGCTATTTAACAGGCCAGCTGCTCCAATTCACCCGCCCCTGACTGATTTTCAAAAGTTACACGCACTATTGACCTAATGGATTGTTCTTGGGTTGCAATAAAGTTATTTGGAGGACTGATTATACGGAACAAACGATTTGTATTAGTGTATTTGTCAAACAACCGCGCAACAAGAAACAAGTTTAATTTGAAACTGCTGTCCAAAATGCGGAGAAGAGAGATGTTATCTTGTGCTGTGGGAAACGTGTTTAACGACATCGTCCGACAGTTGTTGATATCCTTCCAAATCCTATTTTTTATGAAAGTAGTAGAGCTTTCAGCTTCGCAAGTAGGAGTAATAATACTCACAGGCCAAATGTCAGAAGCAGTTTTTTCAATGGTCAACGGTCTCCTCGGAGACCAAGTCAATATTCCTTTCATTTCAAGGAAAATCGGAAGGCGCAAATCTTGGCACCTAATGGCAACATGCTTGATGGCAATCAGCATTCCTCTTTTGTTGAATCGTTGCCTTCTTTGTGATGCCAGAGGGCAAACGTGGCTTCCAATTCTTTATTACAGCTTTTTATCGGCATTGAAAGGCTTCTCGTACAACATGGTGGAGATAAATCATCTAGCCTTCATCACAGCTGTCGCTGAGAATGTTGAGGAGGCGACAACGCTAAGCGCCATGAGGTTTGTTTAACGTTAGGGCGTGGGAGATACAGTTCGAAAATATTGCAATTGGTTTTTTAAGAATATTTCAAATTAAGATGAATAAATTCAGTAAAACGAGGTCGAAAGTTGATTTAATTTTTTTTAACGCCGCGTATACTTTCGACTTAGCTTTTCGAGTTGGTCATAGCACATAAAGTGTTGAATACGGGGCAAACTAGTTGAACGGCCATAAATCAGAGAAGAAGACTCATAAGATTCAAAGGAACAGCTAAGTTTGTTAATCCTCAAAACTACATACTTCAGATGGAGGCTCATTGTGCGAGCTTGGGTTACCTGCGGTTATCTGTGGTTGGTGTGAAACCCTCGAGAAAACAAAGAGCGCTCCACGACATACAAATTGATATTCTCCAGCTAAGTGATGAAGGTACGGTAATTTAAAATAAAGCTTTCCGTGAAATTTTACAATTTCAATCCTTTGCTCTGGTGATCTAGGACTGCGTTCACCTTCTTAAGTGGAGTTTACGTGTATGTCCTCGCCTGGGTCCTTCTCGAACAAGACAGTGCAGATAGTCTGGGACCTAAAGACTACAATGTGTTTGCGGTTAGTGCCCTGAGAAGTTCTTCATGTATTTTTAGATCCCTTTTTCGTTAAAAAAGAAATAGAGTAACTCAAATCCATCAGGCTGTCTCTGGCCATGAGTGTAGAAAAAGAACCTGAAAATTTGTTCAAAACCAGGAAGGAAACAATTACTAAAACTAAACATTAGACACCAGGGAAAGTACCCTTCTCCACGAGAGAGAGATTCACAACACCGAAATTCATAGTTGAGGGGTGAATATACGGACGAATCGAAATAAGTTCCTCCTTCCGTTATTGTGGCTCTGCCGCTTGCATTCTTTTTTTTTTTTTTTTTTTAAAAAAGAAAGAACCAGCTAGACATGCGAAAATTAAATATAACTGAATACATTTTAGCTATTTCTTAAGATTTTAATGCCATGCCATCCTTTCATGAGGATGACATTTTGATACCTTTTGTTAAATTTACAGAAAATATCTTGGATTGCAACAGGGACTGGTCTCTTCTTTGCAGCAATTTTTTACACCGGCCCAAAGGAGCCACAGAAACGTTTAAGAAAACGTAACGCGCATTTGGATTTAACGGTAAGTCGGAGTGAAGGTGCACACGATACCGCGTAACCCTGTTGCGAAAGGAAAGTGCGAATACGAAGACAAGTCACTGAATCTAATGATTCCTTCGCATCTTTGTGAATTTTTTCTTAAGCAAGGCTTTTCAAGAGTATCTCATTTTTTCCTTGTTGCATAAAGCTTTGCCACGAACTCAAACCAACTCCTGTCACCTAATTTGCGACAATTAAACTTTCACGCTTTTTTCGATGCTTACAGTCGAGACTTTTTATGGTATGGTGTGATTGTTGTTCCAAAAAAACTATCAACTGGATAAATCCTTGTGGATGGTGGCTTGCTGGTAGGGACACTGGGAATTCGCTCTGCTGGTGGAAGCGAGCAGGTCTTGCTAAAATGTTTTTGGAATTGTCTCTTTGCAGAATGTTCCTGGAGTGTTCTCTCCATTGTCTGGAGGCGTTCAAAGTATGTGGACTCAGAAGTTGACACGTAACTCTATAACTAGCAAATCCTAAGATACGAACCAGTACACCCCATTTTTCCAACCAATTGGAGTCAAACAAAATTATATTTGGTATATAAACTAACCATTGACGCCATTCTCAAATTATGACGCTTAAATAGCAAAAAGCCGAAGAATGTTAGTATCGCTTCCTTTGAAAACGTAGAAAAAAAAAAAGAAGCAAAAATAAAGCAAAGTAAGGCCAAGAAGAATTCCATTTTCACCGAATCACAACCTTGAACGGAAAAATTTATTCATAAACATAAACTAGATGGATTTTATTGAGATAACTAACACGCTTCACGCGGTCTACCTGGTCGCGACGTTTCAGGTTAGTGTTTATTTTTGAGAATTTTTCTTTCTAACTTGAAGGGAGGCTGGGGAATGCTGGAGACTTATGCTTACCCTCTACCGATTTTCGAGTATGCGTAGCTTTCTGCATTCTTCTAACACCCCTCCTGTATTACGAGACTCATGTGTAAACAAGGCTAAAGGCCACTGTTGACACAAGAGGTAAAAACAGGAAAGGCCACCTCACCATCACGTACGCCTTGAATCTTTTAAAAAAGCTCTCAGTGTCACTACAGACTGTCAAACTGTATAGCACCATAACTAGCTAGCTGATCAAACTGTATAGCACCATAACTGACTAACTGATCAAACTGTGTAGCACCATAACTGACTAACTGATCAAACTGTATAGCACCATAACTGACTAACTGATCAAACTGTATAGCACCATAACTGACTAACTGATCAAACTGTATAGCACCATAACTGACTAACTGATCAAAAGTGCTAAAAGTTATGTTGTCAGGGTATGCAAACTAGTGCAATCCTGATGGGGGTCCTAAACACATCAAAGTTAAAGCATTAAAGTTAAATTGTTCTCTCTCGAACCTGTGTTCAAACTGTGGGTAAACTAACCCTAGTCTTTATTTTTAAATCTTTCTCAAGACTCTAGAAAGACCAGTCTTTCCCATTTATTTGTTGACAAGATCATGACGTCGTCGAGTTTCGAACCAATTGAGCACGAGGGAAGTAACGTAACTCCAAACCGTCCATCACACGACAGAAGAAGAACTGTGATGCAAAGGTTTTTGCATGCCCTTCTCTGTGAAGGTGAAAGCAACACTGGCCAAAATCAGTTGGAACATCACGATACTGCCAAAACAATTGAGATTTCACGAGACCTCGACATAGTTACGTGTTTGGCCGCGAGAGTAAAACTAGATCCAGATGATGGGAACCTGTCTAAACTGGAGAACGACCGTTCCAAAGTATCTGATCATGTAGACCAAAGTACGTCAAATAGTGTAAATGAAAATGGAAATCACGAAGAAGCGTTGGAGGATTTAGAAATTGACGATGCAGAAAACGGCCATGCAGATGAGGATCAAGGAGTTTATCAAGAGGACCAGACTAGAGAGATCGCAAAAAATTCCGTTTTGGACAAGCCCAAGGTTGGAAGACATGGAGTCGTTTCAGTACCAGATGAGAACAAATATAAATTTCTTAATTTGGCTTTTGACGATGATAAACGCGAGGTAAAAGCTGACAGCGGCATAAGCGATACGTCAGCGGGACATTCCAGAATGAAGAAAAATTGTGTGGCTTTCAAGTTACTCGAATCTCCTTTAGTGAATGAAAAACAGCTGGAATTGAACTCTCATGAGTCGAACAAGACGCAGAATACTTTTTCGTTTCAAAGAAGTCAAGATCATCTTGAGACATCTGAAACAGAAAATAGAGGATTTGAACCACGCGAAGAAATCAAATTGAATATAGAAGAGTATGGCGAAGTGCCTGATCTTTCTTTTCCCTGCAAGACTCAATATGAGAGTAGAAGTCCAAAGGCACTTAAAGATTGGTTAAAAGATGCAAATTTATACAAGGTATGCCTTGTGTGCTCCTGTTTGAAGATGCGTTATTGAAAACAGGTAATGGTTGGTTTCTAAGATACTCTGCTAAACAAATAATACCGATGGACGCACGATTTCGTTCACGCAAAAGGGAATAAGGTTCTCTTAGTTTACAGAACCCAGGAATTTGTACTTAAAGACGAAGGACAGAATTAAAAGGTATTAAAAAAGGGTTAAATTATGTTAAGAATTCCATTGAAAGATTTTTTGTTGGGCTCATCTACTCTAACTGTTTTTTATTTTCAGGTGGCCGCTATCTTCACGTTCTCTCGTCTAGCTCAAGGGCCCGTTTACGCTTATCTGGCGCTCTATCTCATCGAAAAATTACATTTCCCGAAGGTATTTGAATATGGGATAATTTTTCATTTGACTTTTTTTAATTATCAAATCTTCGTTTTTTTGTTAATTTGGCGTTCTAAATCAAAATGTGTAGAAAAACTGTACCTTTAAGAAGGAAAACTGTTCAAAGGAATCCTGAGCGGTGTTCAAAATTTCGATTGTTATCCGCGATAATTATCAAATATTCCACGGTAAATAAATGATAACTGATGTAATGAGGTTGACGAAATAATCAATTATCGATATTTGCGATGTTGTTTAATGATAGAAGGAGATTTTGAAAAGATTTTTTTTAATGCTTTAAAGTCTTGCCAGTCTACCTTTTTCTCCCAAAACCACAGAGTGTATATTTTACTGCGTCATTTGTCTTGTCTCGTTTAAGGAAGCGAGTGCCTATTTTCCTCTTGTTCTCCTAATGAGTGCGTCGTCTTCAAGCTTCATTTGTGGCAAACTAAACAGGAAGATAGGAAACAAGGTGAGTCTGTAAGGTTCTGACTCTGTGTTACTTAAGTAAATGTACCTTACACCAATTGTAAATGTTAAAAGTTTGTTTTAGATATACGATCTATAGGAGATACAGTACAAGTTATGTTTGATCTATAATTGCAGTGGAACTACGTATTGGCGGGTACTTTTGTGATGGCCGGTACTGTTTGGATTTATTTTCAAACTCCGCCCACCCGTCAATTAACATATGGACCAGTGGCAATGATAGGAAGTGGTCTGTCCGTTATGTACGTCATGGCACTGGCTTTCATCGCTAAACTGCTTGGCGAGGATAAGGTGGGTAACGTTTTTCTTAAGATATAGAAATTTTTAGCCTAAAACAGTATCTAAGTTTTTCAATTGTAACTCGTTTTCATTTAGGCCACCTTTTGCTATGTTCGTTGTATTTGAGTTTCTTGTCGACTTTTTGGCGTTTGTTGCATATGCAAACAATTATTTCAAGGCTTTATTCTACATAAAAATTATTCTATTTGACTCTCACAGTGACTCAAAAACTCGTGACGTAGAATACTGAAAAAAAACTTCCTGGCACCTAGCAAGTCTCCTGCCTGCCAGCCTGTCAACCAACCAATCATTCAACCAAATGCTGGAAAGGAAAATAATCACTAAACATGCGGCAGACCACTGAGCAACCGGTGAAAGTGCCCTATACCCTAAAATCTTATCCTCAATGTCTAAATACCCTCAGTCTAAATGTAGGTTTACAATATCACTGTACAGGAAAGAAGCGGATCGGTGATTTCCATCATCAATGTGTTCGGTTCTGTGTCAATGGGTTCCCTTTCTTTTCTTCTTCAGCTATTGTACCCAGATAAAAGGTAAGTGAGCTTGGAGTGTTTTCTAATTATGTTTTAAAGTAAAATGAAAACAAAAAGATTGACAAATAAAGTCGGCCTTTGCTTCATTAACATTAGTTCCTGTTCTAAACTTAATTTTTTCTTGGATCTGTCGTAGCATGCTCTTGATGATTTTATGAAAAAGGCACTGGGGTCGTAGCAGTGGGCTAAACAACAGTGTTTTTCCTTCGACCAATCGCGTGCTATTTTTAGTACATTGAACACCCCATCCTATTCCGAAAGGCCTCACAAATATGAAAATAAACATGTCCTATGTCATCTTTTCCTTCGACCAATTTCTTGTAACATTTTAGAACCAGCTCAAAAGAGGAGATTGGCAATTATGTCAAAGATGCCTTTGCGGTGACCTGTGGTATAATGACTTTGATGGGAGTCCTGGTGGTTTTGCTTTTCCAGCCTTCAAAATTTACCTGCAAATCCAAAGGTAATGGAAATATGTCGTATCATTCAATATTTTGCAAAAAAGTCTCAAAAAAATTTTTTAACGTCATCGGAAGGCATGTAGAAACCTATACACTAACTTTGCTCCCTGCCTCTTCCCTTAGCTTAGATTTACTGAAACAAGAAAAAGTGGCTAATTTTATATACGGTTACAAATGCTTGAAAAGTTGTTGTATTCAAACAATCAATTAATGGTTAGGTAATAGAAAAATCTTTGCGTTCTCTATCCCTTTTAGCTCGAATACATGTTGAGGCCGCTGCAGATCAGTGCGTTTCACAGCAAAACACGTCAAAGCCGAGCGTTAACCCGGATAAAACCCAGAATTCCGTACTGGCTGCAATGTCTTCTTGCACTTATGACACAAGACTGTAAAAACATTTCGCTGTAATCATTACGTGCAAATAGCATATTGTTTTAAACTTTCTATACATATCACTGAGAGATGGATATTGCAACTTTCGCCTACCCAACCTAGTTCACTTGGCTAGTGGCTCAAGTGGTCGTCGGAGAAGTTTCAAGTTCTAAAACCAATCTTCTTTGACAAGGTTTACACTAGTACTAGAGGAAATTGTTCCGGATTCATGATGAATCCGAAACGTTTTAGTACCGGATTGATTTTGCCGTTTACACGAAAGTGGACGGATCCGAAATAAAAACTCCCCGGTTTGGTCGTGTCTCCGGAGATTTTGAATCCGGAACTTAAAGTGGGAACTTTGAATCCGATAACTTTTGAATCCGGAAAGTTTTGTCGTGTAACCGCTTTTTTTTCTCGAATCCGGATATTATTTCCGCCTGCAATCTTTTGAGTTTGCGGTGAAACCAAAATGCAGGATCTGGTGCTAACATTGCTGGCGGTCTCCGGTTGCCTAATCTTGTTGCAGGTTCAGGCGATAAATTTTATCATGTGTACCACAGTATTTCTGAGGAAACGCAAATTATTATTGCAAGGAAGTTTAACGTCAGCCACACTTAATCGCCGACAACATAGATGGCAGGATCGAAGACGGAGACGGTTTTGGGTTAGGCCAGGTCGAACAAGTGCCAGGTGGGACAATATGATGGGAAATGTCACGGTAGCTAGCGAGTGGAGAGAAAATTTTAGAATGTCCCACCCTACCTTTATGGAACTTTGCGAAGATCTTAGGTCCCTACTTGAGAGAAAATCAGAAAAAAAAACCGGAGTTGTCGTCGTGTGTAAACGGTCAGGAATCCGAACATCCTTTCAGTGTAAACGCCTACGAATCCGAATACTCCAAAATTGATGAATCCGGGAACATTTACGAATCCGGAAAACTCTCCTCTAGTGTAAACCTAGCCTTTAGCTCGAGTTATAAATACTGGCAATATAAATTAGAGGCTTTTATCGTCGGACTACGCAATTGAACATTTTGGATCTTTTAGATACGTTTGGAAGAATTAAGGTCAGATCACAATGTTGTAGTTTCTGACAGGATAACATATCAGATTAGCGTAGGAGTTACATTACGTTACAAAGACACTCAGGTTCTTTGAATGGACGGAGTCAAGCGGTTATCACGTACCACGTACTCAAGTGTTTTTGCCTCTTTGTTTCTCCTCATGATAAAGAATCTAGAGGCCTGCACATGTACAATCCAAACTACTTCACTAGACCTTTTGGGTTGAATAATAGAAGCAGGAAGAGCTGCGGTGTGTAACTCGAAAGTGACTCCTCACTATAGTTCTTTGTTATTAGAGATTAACCACAGGTAGCCCAAGCTCTGTCACAGGCTCTTTCACAATGAATAATTAAAGAGTTTGTATAGTGTTTTAGTTGGACTTGCTTTTGAGCTCCGTAAATGTAAAGTTGTGTGAAATAATCAAAGAAATAAAGTCTTACCTTCGTAGAGAGTAGTCTGTGTTGTTCTCCTCGCGATTTGAGGCCGTTTTGATGTGTTTTAGCTTGACGCCCTAAATTACCGTGCATAAAATACGGGAAGGTCGGAAACTTCTGTTGACACATGCTCGCCAAAATCGCTCGAAAACAACACTTAAATACTTTCCCTCGAATCAAAACTCGGCAGCACGAAAGCCAAATAGTTGCCCTTTAAGTTCACCGAAAAAAATCCCACAAAAGTCGGTTTGTCGAGCAACCAATCCAGCGAGAATTTCAAATTAACGGCCGTTCGGAATTCTTCTAATGCGTGGAAGGAACTTNAGAGCGAATTTGCTAACGAAGGGCTGACACTCGAAAAGTCTCTTAACGGTGGCCGATTTACATTACCAACTCAGTTGTTAAAACCAAACAATCTTGTAATATCCCCACAACTGACGTAGCACCATCCTCGGAGACCCAGGGGCTGTGGTTCGAAATTAGGGCATGAAGAGCCCCTGGGGACATTGTCTTACAAGACTAGTTCCAAACGGTCGCAGTCGTTCTGCCATCTGATTGGTGCCAGAAAATCTTTGTGTTTTTCTGCCCAATCAGAGTGAAGTGTACTTTAGAGTCCTTTCGTGTGTTTTAACACGGACATAGACTAATAGCTCAGTTGCTCGCTATGTTTGTTTGGGCCATGTGACGGAGATTTGCTTGAGGTGAAAAGTTTCAGTCTCAGCACACAATGTAAGAGAAATCGATCAGATTGTCCGCGAAAATCTTACCGGAAATTATACTGAATACTTTTGCAGGTGTCACTAGAGAACGTGTTTTAAAGTTTGCGAGGTTTGTATACAACACGATGGTTGCAGTCATTGATATGTCGCTTTAAATGTTAAACGAGTTAAGCTTAAATCTTTCTGGATTTTTTGCATAATTTGCTGTGACTGAAACTTTGCCAATCCCGTGAAGTTATTTCGTCATATTAAATGCGGCCATGTTACACCGACTGAATTTAAACGACAGTTTCAGTCTCTCAAAACATCTTAGACTTGCCCACGGTGTGTCACGAAAACGTTATTGATGGAGCTACCAATGGCTAGTGTCGGGAATGCTAGTTTCGAATCCCTGAATCCCTGAAGAGGTGAATGTTTCCATTACAAATAGTTTCTCAGAAACGCATAACGAACAACATCTTCACCCATCGTACAATTTTTGGTATTCCGCCCGTTTAATGATTCCTAATCTTCTTAATGGCCACAACCTCTTGCGCTTTCGTGAGGAGAGAGCTGGACGTCGTGTCAAGAGTGAAATTACCGACGGGGTTTGGCCTATCAATACTGTGGAAAGTCGAAGAACTTTTCCTCCTAAAGTTAAAAATTTGCATACTGCTGTTAACAAGAATAACCTCGTGCAGATTTGCATGACTTCGAACACGCAACCTGTTAACTCCAACAAGTCTACTTTATCGGCTCCGAAGCTTTGTTTGTTTGGCCTCCTGAATTGTCGATCAGTCCGCAATAAATATCTCTCTATCAAGGACTATGTTGTGGACAAGGATTTTAATATTATTGCTATTACGGAGACCTGGCTCAACACTGGGGATTTATATGATAATTTCGTAATTGGAAGTCTTATCCCAAATGGCTATGGCTTTTTACACTCTGCTCGTGAAGGAAGAGGTGGTGGCGTCGGATTGCTTTTCAAAAGTTCGTTACCAGTTAAGCAGACATCAAAGGATTATCTGGACACCTTCATTTCCTTTGAAGCCTTGGAGTGCAAAGTTAAGGTTTTTCGCAAACTGTTTCCATCCTTATTGTCTATTGTCCTGCACTGTCCTCTGGAAACAATCTTTCTACTGAGCGTTTTATGAATGAATTTTCGTCTCTTTTAGAATCCTGTATCACTAAAACTGGTTCACTTGTAATTGCTGGTGACTTTAATTTTCATTACTGTTTAACCTTTTTCTTATCTGGATCCTTCCCTCCTCCACGTAAATCAAAGAAACTTGTTTATGCATATAAAAAGGCTGACTAGGAACATCTAAAATGCCTGTTTTCACATACACCGTGGCATTGTGCATATTTTGACGACAACTCAGATGATAGCTGGCAAGCGTGGCTGGATTTATTCTTTGCGGCAGTGTATCAGTGTATTCCGAAGCGGAGACACAACAACAAATTTAATCCTCCCTGGATTTCAGCAGAAATCATTAAGCTCTGTCGGAAGAAAAAAACATCTTTTCAGGAAAGCAAAGCGAGTAAACACAGATTTCTTGTGGATGAGATATCGCGCTTTAAACAACTCTGTCAAGAAAGAGTGTCATGCAGCGATGCTAAACTATATTAACGACCTGGTTGATGAGCTTGCTACTAACAACAATTCCAAGCCGTTTTGGAGCTTTGTGAAATCTATGCGTAAAGGGTCTAACAATCTCGTCTCACTTAATATCGACGGCGTCACTCTCTCAAATGATCTTGGCATTGCTGAAAGTATGAATGACTTTTTCTCCTCTGTGTTTACATCAGAAGACTGTGATAACTTCCCCGAATTTGAATATGTCACCAACATTAATAGTAAACTTTCAAACATTCTTTGTAACACAGTGGAAGTAGAAAAACTGTCAAAAAATCTGAATATCTACAAATCGCCTGGACCTGACAACCTACCACCACGCATTCTGAAAGAATGTGCGAGTGTTTTATCATCACCTCTGTGCCTTTTCTTTAACAGATCATTTTCAACACGTAAACTGCCACGCCTTTGGAAACTTGCTAACATCACACCTTTGCTCAAAAAAGGCAGTAAGACTGACGGGAATAATTATCGTGAGATCTCATTAACATCAATAGTGTGCAAGACCGCGAAATAATCGTCAAGTCTCGCGTGATGGATTTTTGGCGAAACATAAATATCATCAACCCGAACCAGTTCGCTTACATGGAGGGCCGATCAACGCTTTCAGAGCTGCTCTCTTTTTATGACGACTGGGCGAAATCACGCAATAACAAGAAGCCCACTGACATTGCCTTTTTGGATCTTTCCAAGGCGTTTGACAGCGTGCCGCATGAGCGTCTCCTTTTCAAGCTTGAGCGTCACGGTATCGACGGCAGCGCTCTTCAGTGGTTTCGAAATTTTATTAACTGGCCGGATGTAACGCGTCGTCCTGCCCGGTACTTGCTCGTCCTGGTCTCCAGTTTTATCAGGAGTACCCCAGGGAACAATCCTTGGTCCCGTCTTATTCATTTTATATGTAAATGACATCTCATCAGGAATTTCATCTACGGTTAAACTGTATGCAGATGACACCAAGGTTTACAGAGATATCTCCGACATAGCTAGAGACACAAATATTCTTCAGTCCGACTTATTTCACCTGAAGACGTGGTCTGAGGTCTGGCAGTTGAACTTCAATGTGAACAAATGTGAGGTTATGCGAGTAACACAAATCTGTCCCACATTACTCTCTCATCCCGCACGGAGAATGTCTAAGCTCCGTTAGTTCTGTAAAAGACCTTGGCATTACAATCTCGCATGACCTCTCGTGGACTCCACACGTTGTTGAGGTTGTCAATAAGGCCAATAAAGTTCTTGGTCTAATCAGCGAACAATCGGTTCTGTAAACAAGGAAATCTTTTCCGCATTGTACAAGACTCTTGTGAGACCAATCCTGGAGTACGCTTCCCCAGTATGGTGCCCTTACCTAGTTAAAAATACTGTTCTCTTGGAGAAAGTTCAGAGAAGAGCCTCTCGATTGGTTTTACGTCAGCGAAGGGGTGAA